TGCCGCAGCGTTGGCCAGCGCCGAGCTCGCGACCCCGCCCCCTCCCCGCAGGCGGGGACGACAGACACGGCCACCGGTCACCTGCAGGGACAGGTTTATTGAGGTCAACCGCAGAGTAACAGTGAAATGCGCGGAACCGCGCCCGCGGACGGGCGACAGCCGGGCTCACAGACGCCGTGGCCGGGGGCAGGCGGGGCGGGCCAGGCCACTCGGCCGCCCCCGGCCTCGTAAACATCGTGTGTCTGACACACACAGCGTAGCTGGGTCAGCAGGAGCCAGTGCAGTGTCCAACTTAATAAGTTGATAAAGAGTAGCCCAGTGGCCAGTTCACAACGGAACTAAATAGCTTGTCCCAGGCGCTGGGGTCTCTCCGGTGACAACAGTCCGTGCCGACAGGCTCGCTGTCCGGAGAGGCGAGGCCGCGGACCTCAGGCCCGGAAAGCAGGCGGGAGCCGGGGGACCGACACGGACAGTGCCTGCGTGTCCAGCGGCAGCTGTGTGGAACGGGGCCCGGGGAGGCCAGGCAGGCGTGGGCAGCTGTTGGAAGCTGGCTCCAGTCCAGCGTGGACGGCAGCATGTGGTGGGTGCCAGACGGACCCGGCGTGGACTGCTGTGCTTCCCACTGGCCACGGAAGGGAGTCGCATCAAACAGGCCACACGTCACGGGTGCCGCTGACCCTCTGAGGGCCTGCTGTTCTTCCCCCCCAGGGACACTGCTGTCTCAGGACCCACCTGCCCTCAAGCACAGGTCGGTCCCCAGGGAAGACCGGGCCGGCGGAGCGGGGGGACGGGCCGGACCCCCACCACTAGCTCACGTGCCCGCCAGGGGGCGTCCCAGAAGACGCTCGGCTCAGCTGACTTCTCGTCAGGCTCGTGCTCAGTCAGTCCCGTCACGCAGCAGCCGGCCAAACCCCAGGCGGACGGGCGCCGCGCTGACCACTCAGAGACACCCACGCTGGGCTCCGGAGGCCCGAGCCCCTTGGCTGCAGCTACCACCCGACCGCCACTGCAGCGGCCTCGCCCTGGGGCACAGGCAGGCACGGGGACAGCGCTCGCCACGCGGCCGGAGACCCCGACAGGAGGCGTCCCCGCCCGACACACGGCCCGGAGCCCTGCACACAGGACCCAGCGCTCGCCGCTATCCACAAGCCCACACCAGCGGCTGTCACCCACAGCGGCTTCTGCCCAGGCCTTCGTGTCTTCGGGTCAGGGTCAAGTTTAAGGCTGGCATCCGAGGGCCCGGGCCTCCTGTCCTCCGTGCGTGGGGCCCTGCTCTGCTCTGGCTTCCGGCAGCGGAGACCGGAGGGCAGCAGGAGCACCAGCTGGACAGGGTTGGGCTGCCCAGGCCGCCATCCAGAGGAGGTCTCCAGTCTCAAAGCCCGGAGGGCTCAGGCGGGCCGCGCCGACGCAGGGGTGGGCCGAGGCCGTTCGCTGTGCGCCCTGCCAGGGCCAGCCCGCCACACACCTCCCAGGGTTTCTCTGGGAGCCCGGCGGCGGGGGGCGTGCACCCTGGACAGGCGCAGGGCCTGCGGAGGCCGGAGGTCACGCCCAGGGCCGTTGTTCCTTGAAGCACGTGGAAAATTCAAGTAGTTATTTTAAAACGCCTTTGTCTCATCCCCAAACGCGTGTCCGCCTGCATGCCGTGGTCAGTGCTCAGCCCGCACCCGCAGTCCGCGCGGGGCCACGTGAGGATCCTGCAGAGACGCGCTTCCAGGCTGGCCCGGCCCCCGGGCCCCGCGGAGTCCGAGTTGGCGTCCAGCGGGCAGCGGGCCCCGCGGGTGGATGGGGGCTGCGCCGCAGCCCGGAGCCCCACAAATGGCTGCCGGCCGCCTGGGGAGTGATGAGACCCCTCCCTGGGGCCCACATGCGGGCGCCGCCCCCGGCCACTCAGGCTTGGGGGGCGGCCGCCTCTCCCTGCCCACGCCGGGGTCCACCCGACCCCCCAGGCCCGGAGGGGAGGCCGCTCTGAGAATCGGCTTTGGAGAAAATGCTTCTTCCCTGAAACGAGCGGAGGAAAAGCAGCCCGCGGGCGGCAGGCGGGCGGCCGCGCCAAGCCTGGTCTCGCAGACACCTGGGCTCTGCCTCGGAGGCTGCGCGGCCGCTGCGTGAGCGTGCGCGTGGCAGGGTCGACACCAGAAGACCTTTTTCAATTAAAAAAAGACTTTAAATGACTGTTTAATGTGGAAAAGCGGCGCGGGTGGGCTGGCCGGGCGCGGGCCGCCTGGGCACGGGGCCC